ATGACAATCACAGAGGCTGTGGGTGTCTGAGAAGGTCACAATCAGCAGAGTAGTCCACTCTTCTCTCCCCAAGGAAAGAATGTGGGCTGCTGCTCTTGGACAACTCTTCCTAGCACAAATGCTATCCTCCATCTTTGGGGTTTCCACACTCTCTTAACAGAAAGGATCTCGTAGGATCCTCACAGCCTGCTGGGAGAGATGGCCTGAGGTAATTGAAGAGGATTGTATCTACCCAGCAGAGACTACTAAACAACGTAAACACAACTGAAAAATCAAAAACAAAAACAACACCCCAGAACAACTCAAGAGAAAAGATCTAAGTGGTAAAACATTCTTTTTTTAAAAAGAAAGGGAAGCAGCTGTGGGTTAACAGAGAGGCTGCACTTGGGATGGGTGGGCTCTGCTTTAGAGGCCTTTTGAAAACAGTTCAGATGGGTTCTGTGGCAAACTCTAAACTTAGATCTTAAAGATGGAGGCTTTGCTGAAATGTTCTTTGGAAAATTAACAGAAATTCCATCCTAGCAGGTTTGGATTTTGAAGTTAAAAATACCGTTGGCTCTGTGAATGCTGGGAGACTTAGAGCACACATGTATAAATTAAGCTAACCCTGTGCATATCTTCTCAAAGCATCATTCTGTTCAGACACATCAATACTGTGGAGTCAAAAAGATGGACTGAGGGATGGGAGAGGACCTCCTGACTCTAGTGTCTGGTGACTCTTGAGTAGCTGTAACTGTACTGATTGGATGCTGCTTCTCTGAAAGTCAAATTGGATCAAAGGGGCCAAGACTTAGACCTGACATGATTACCTGTAGCTGGAGTTTTTTCTTTCCGGGTCCTGCCAAGCCCCGGCAGTCCGACAGCCCACTTATAAAATAAACACACAGATGCTTATATCATTTAAACTGTCTGGCCTAATGGCTCAGGCTTCTAGCTATCTAGTTCTTACATCTTAAATTAATCCATTTTCATAAATCTATACCTTGCCACATGGCTCGTGGCTTACCGGCATCTTCACATGCTGCTTGTCATGGCGACGGCTGGCAGTGTCTCCTCCCACTTTCCTGTTCCCTTAATTCTCCTCTCTGTTAATCCCGCCTATACTTCCTGCCTGGCCACTGGCCAATCAGTGTTTTATTTATTGACCAATCAGAGCAACACATTTGACATACAGACCATCCCACAGCAATTACCTATTGCTGTGGTTTGAATATGAGATGCCAACCCCCCTGCCCCCTCCACCCCCCGCATCATGTATTAGGGGTTTGCTTACTAGCTGATGGGCTTTGGAGAAGGGATTGAATCTAATGCCCCTGACCTAATCAACAGATTTATTCCTTGGTAGATGGATACGATGGTGGAATTTTGGGAGGTGAAGTAGGAGGTAAGGCCCGGTTAGAGAAAGCAAGGTCCTGAGGGTGTGTCTTGGGGGCTGTATTTTGCCTGATACTCTGTCTGTGTTCTCTGGCTTCCTCTCCATCACCAAGTGAGCTGTTGGACTTTACCACACCTTTGTCACCATGAAGGACAGATGCTTCCGAAGCCACAAGCAGAATAAATCCTTCCCCACTTTCCTTGTTTATCTGGTGTTCTGTCATCACAGGGACAAAGGATATCTAACACAAACAGTCGTGGGACGTCTTCCGATGTAACTATGGTGGCTGGGCTCGCATAGTAAGAGGAAGCAGAACACTGAAGTAATGACTAAGTCACTCGGGCCATATGCTCATATTTACAATGAAAACAAACTAATTATGACAAAGTGGGTCCTAAAACTGAAGTACCTAAGTTAATTGCTTTGATTCCCTCACCCCCACCTTCTATAGATGTTCAGTGCCACCTTCGGAAATGAGGACACTGTAGATGTCAGCCTATTGTCTCAAGGGACATGCTCCTGATTAATTCTACCTGCAAAGTACTTGCCTGCTGCTAATCCTTTGTTCTTCTCACCAAAATGCCAGGTGACATGACCATGGCCCCCACAGGTGAGGTAGTTCCAGCATTCTTTGGATTCTATACACATTTCTCTGGACCCGTGTGGCTAAGTCCCCTGGCTGATGAGAAGAATGTACAGTAAAGGAATGTTACCTTGCCCTCAGGCAAGATCCACAACACAGGTAACAACTTAGGGCACACTGAAATGGAACACATTGCATCAGATTTAATCAATCAATTAGCTTACCTCCAAAGAAATACTAAAATAGCGATTGGATGACTTTCAGACTTGAGTCACAATTATAAAGAGGTGATGCAAAAGGGATCTTTTGGGTCTTTGAAAAGAATTACTTCCTTCTGAGACCCAGTCATCGCCCCCACCCGGTTTCAGCTTTTCTTCTAAATGGCAATGCTGACGCTTTATTAGTTAATCAATAAGACATGATACAGGGCATGGTTATCATAAAATAATCGCACCCTGGAGCATTTTGAGGCATGAGCCACTTGCCTCTAATCAGATTGGGTGGAGATTACCTTTGGATAACCACACTCCTGGGAACTGCCTCGTTTCTATTATGAGTACATTTTATAATGGGGAATATACATTTCTGCAGGGAAATGAAGTTGGCAGTGTAAGACCAGAATCCCTCCAGTTGAGCCGAGAAGAAGCATTCCTCTTTTTGAACCAGTCAAACTCAGCTTCATCTGCTGAAGCAAGGTCAGAGAAAGCAGTGTGCATGAGCAGTGTGGGCTGCTCCACATGGAAATTCTGTGTGTGTGTGTGTGTGTGTGTGTGTGTGTGTGTGTGTGTGTGTGTGTGTGTGTGAAGTTTGGAATCAGATGCAAACATTCAAAGGGGTCATTTGAGTCTTGGCGTGCATGTTTACAAAGTGCGACACTTTGAAGGTGGAGTGGCTTTGGGTGTCTAGGTCCTACCAGAAGATCGCTCCAGGGAAACAGAACAAAACCTTTTTCCAACTTCCTACAAAGCAAGAAATTCGTTTCTTCCTCAACTATTGTCCCCGGCAAACTGGAGATTCTGCTAGGAGGTGTTTCCATCCCTTTCTTCCTGTCAGCTAAGCAGCTAACAATTTTAAATCAAATGCATATATTGTAGAGTTAAAGACAGAAATGCCTGGTGAGTTATGAAATATATTTTATGAAGGTGTGCAGAGGGCTTACCCTATTAGTTTAGAATGATGGAAAAATCCATTTAAAATGTTAGATGAATACATGGAAGGTTTCAGGGATGATTAAACTCTCGGAGCCAGAGGTCTGAATCCTGTTTTTTCTACACAGAGCATTCATATCCAGAAACTTTTAAGATGGAGTAAAGAAAATATGGTGAAATTACATAGGCTAATTGCTTTTTGACAGGAGTGATATTTGCAACTAATAATGAAAGTGGGAGATAGAGCTGATACTGTGGCCGTACTCACAGAATCGTGATTGACTTTCTGCGTTAACCACACAGCTCTCATAATAAAGCAAACATCATTTCAGGGTTGTTTTTGCTTTTGTTTTTGTTTTGTTTGTTTGTTTTGCATGAAAGGTGAGAAGGTAACATAGAGAGAACGATCTCATTTTATGGATTTATTATATTAGAATTAAGCCCAGCTTTTATAGGGCAATACGGCACCTGATTAATGTGACTCCCTTGCAATGCTGGCTATTTCGAGGGCCTCTGGATGTCTGTCTCGGGTCCAACAATTGCTTCATCCTTCCTACTATTTCATTTCCTCCAAATTCTCCTTGATCTTTGCAAAAAACTGCTGGGGCAGCTGGGCTCCCCGCTTGAAAGAAACGAGGCCTGGCCAGAAAGAAACTGAGCAAAGATTTGCAATAATCATTTAAAAAAATTCATCTCACAGCTAGACGAAAGAGATCATTTTTAATTATTCAGAGAGCAGAAGGGCTTTTTACCTCAGATTCTGCCCAAGTTAGGAGCTGATATGTGTTTTGTGGAAAAAGTCTTATTTTATCCTTTCTGGAAGAGACAGCCCAATGCAAATCTCCACCCAGGTCCTACCTGTGAGGATGCAAGCCACTGAGGACTGTTCAGATGGAACTGGCCTGACGAGAGCCCAAGGAAGCTCATGTCTTGAGGAAGAAGGGCGATGTTTGGCTGCTCTGCCCCTTGACTGTGACCCACCTCTGCATTCATAGTGCCCAGATGTGGTGGTATTGTGTTCCCCCAAAATATTGTGCACCCTAATAAACTTATCTGGGGTCAGAGACAGAACAGCCACTAGATACAAAGGCTAGAAAATGGTGGCACTCACACCTTTAATCCTAGCATTCCAGAGGCAGAAATCCCTCTGGATCTCTGTGAGTTCAAGGCCACATTGGAAACAGCCAAGCATGGTGACACAGGCCTTTAATCCCAGAAAGTGAGCCCTTAATCCCAGGGAGTGATGGCAGAAAGTAGAAAAAGATATAAGGTGTGAGGACCAGAAACTAGAAGCATTTTGGCTGGTTAAGCTTTCAGGCTTTCTAGCAGCAGTTCAGCTGAGAGCCATTGGGATGAGGACACAGAAGCTTCCAGTCTGAGGAAACAGGATCAACTAAGGAACTGTTGAGGTGAGGAGGCTGTGGCTTGTTCTCCTTCTCTGGTCTTCCAGAATTCACCCCAATAACTGGCCTCAGGTTTGATTTCATTAATAAGACCTGTTAAGATTCCTGCTCCACCCAGGTGACACCTTACAACTCTAACCTGATGTCACCAGTGTGCCAGATATCTTCCACTGAGGTCACCACACAGTCAAATTCGGGAGCCTCCCAGCATCCTCCATCACTGCCACATTGGCTTCTGTTAATCACACTGCGGTTGAACTTCCTTCCTGAGGCCACGGCCAGTCACCATTCATTTTCTCCTCCCTGTGCTGATCGTTCTCAACTTCTCTAGGTTTCCGCCCCCCTGTGCCTGAACAGTAAACACCTTCCCTGGCATAGTGGCAGGCACTTGTCATCCCAGAACTCAGGAGGAGGAAGAAGGGGGAACATGAATTCTTGGTGAGCTTGGACTAGCCAAAAGGTCCCATTTCAAAACAAAACGAAAACCCAAAGAGCTAGGACATGTGGTTTATTGGTAGAGTTCCTGCTTAGCGAATGAAAACCCAGTTTGATCCCCAGAAATGAAAACAAAAAAGTATTAATAATAAACCTCTTTTCCCCTAAGCGCCGTCTTTGTCCTTTGTTTCCCCGTCTAAGCGAGGTACCCTCTCCCACATCATCAACTGTCAAACCCGTAAGTCAGATTTGACTTCTCATCTTCCACTGATGCTCACACCTGACAACACCTGAGCCGACTGACTGGCGTGCAGACCCGGGCGGTTCCCCGGTGGCCGAGCCTCTGGGAAATCTTCACTTCTCAACAGTGAGCGGAGCCTGAGATTCGCTGCTAACCAACAGAAGGATGTCAAGGGGAAGGGATTTAGCGGATAGAAAACCCCGAATCAGCTGCCTGTGATCTAATCAAAAGAGAGACAACTTGCACCCGGGCCTGACCTACTCCGAGGACCCTTTCGACACTGGGCACAGACCATATCTAAAAGAAGAGGCGAAAGCAAGAGGGGAACACTCCTGTCTGTCTTGGAAAACACACACCCTGCTTTTGCAGAAGACAGTTTCTGGGGCTGAGGCCCCCATCTATCAATTCAGTTGCTGATTTTGGCCAACAATCTCCATGCACCTAGAAGACCAGAAGCTTCAGCTGTCATTTTCCTTGCTAGCCACAAAATCATGAATAGGGGCCTTGGCTCAGCGGTACCTAGATTTCTGACCCACAGAAACAGTGTGTTGTTTTTAGTAGGTGGCAGTAATTTGTTTTGCAGCATAGAAAACAGACTCTTCCAACTACATTGTCTTGTACTCAAAGGTTTATGTTTCTTTCCATCAAATCCAAGACTTGCCACTTTTTAACCAGTATCTGCCAAGTCTAACTACATTCCTCTATTTAATTTGAAGCCTCCATTTATCTAGCAAAGAGTTGTTGGACCCTATGTCCAGCTCTGGGTATGTGATGATGAATGGGCCGGGCAGATACAATGCAAAATGCAGTTGATAAACATGTAATTGCAAGGTGCTTTGATGGAGACCTTCAAGGACCCCTTACCTTGTTTGGTAAAAGATGGCAGCCATACTCCTTAAGCCTGAGCAACTGCGTCTACCCTTAAACTTTGACGCTTTGTCCCTCCCTCCTCCAGGCACAGAGGTCCTAGATGACTTTTCTCAAAGATGCTTTCTAATGAGGCAATGTGCTTGTTAGAGTACTCTCCTTGGTTCCCAGTTACATCATAAATGTAACACACTAAATGTTAATAAGGTTGGGATGAATATCAATCTGTCCCTTATCCAGGGCCCAGACATGTTCAAAGACTTAGGTGAAGACACAGACGTGGTAGAGACAGGGCTGAATTCCCTGTGCTCCAACTCCAACTCAGGTCCTCTTTGCTGCTTCTTCAATGTTGAAAATGTCTGTGAAAACAAAACAACAATAAACCATATTTCTAATCACGAGTATAGTTTATAAATATTATAGACACATCAGATGCAGTCCCCAAAAGGAAAATATTTAACCCATTTTTGGCCTTACTTTAGGAACATTTTGATTAGTCTACATGATTAAGGCTAAGTAATTTTTGGTTGCTATGTTGGATTTCACAAGCCCATGGTTATAAGATGAGGGTGGTGTTTATGGGTTTGCTCATTACAGTAACTCCAAAACCATCTCCCAAAGAGCACAGATCGCTGGAGCATGCTTTTGATGCCCTGACCTTTTGTAACGCACGCAAACACCACTAAGGCACAACTTCCCTTCTCTCCAAGGAGTTGCTATGAGGGGCCTCTTACAGTTAGGGGCGAAACTCAGCCAATGACCAATGGAGAATGGGAGATCTGTCTATTTGCCTCAAGGTGGGACCTATTCTGTGATCCGCTGAGACCTCAGGCTCCGGAGGGGTTTCTTCCCCTCCCCATCCCATCCACTTTCTGCTCTTTTCCAAGAACAATCACTCCACCAGGGACTTCTACCTCATGGGGCTTTGATGGAACCTCTTCTCAAACAGTGAACTTCTTCAGAGAATACCAGATGTGTAGCAGCATGGTATTTCACTGTATGCTCCTTCCCCACCTGGATATCCTGGCCATCACTCATGAATCTCATTAACTGAACCTCATTACGATGTCTGCAAAAAGCTCTCCCTCTGAAAACAATTATGTCCCTTCCAAAGGAGCTGATCTAGGATGCCCCCCCAAGCAGCCACCACTCACCAGACATCTTTGCCGAACTGGAAGCACAGCCTCTTCCTTCCCTTCCCAGGTACCTAGTCGCCTAAGCCACACAGTAGCCCTGGAGCTCTAGTTACTGGCCTTTACTCTACCCCTGAGGGTCCATGCCCATTTCTAGGGCCAGGTAGTCAGGATGATGTCATCTCTTCCAAAATCTTCTTGGAGCCTATGCAGAAACCAAAACCTTCTCTCCCCAAGTTGTGTGGAGGGCAAACACGTGTCAGAAAGAGGTGCTGACTACTCCGGGGTCTTCTGGCACCCGGCTCAGTCAGCCAGAGTCTTTTAAACTGGGTTTTTATTTTAAGACTATATCAAGGAGACCTCCTTCCTGGAGTTATTTTGGATGGGGAACATCCGTAAAGAACGAACAGATACAACCTGTTTTTTGAGGAACTCTCGTTTTCTGAGAGTGATTAAAATGTACATAGATACACATGAAGAAACTTTGAAGATGTAATTCTTCCAGGTCTTACAAAGTCTGTTTGATTTTAAACAAGAAACTTCTAGATTTCCATTTTTCTTTCATGGATATTTAAAGTTTACAATAGTGTTTATTCTGACATCCAATTGCAAGCATGTTAAAGGATTCAGTAAAGTTAAAGAAATCATACAGAAAAATTTCGATACCTCTTATCTTGATTCTTTCATTAACATTTTCCAAGTGTGTTATATCATGTATCTATATGTCTATCCTATTTATATTAATGATAATGTGTAGCTAGAGTTTTCCTACCTTGCCCACAGTCAGCACAAATCTTTGTCACCCGCCAGTCCCACAGCTGCTCAGACCCAACCAAGTAAACACAGAGACTTATATTGCTTACAAACTGTATGGCCATGGCAGGCTTCTTGCTAACTGTTCTTATAGCTTAAA